ATTTCAAAATATAGTTCAAAACTATGCTGAGTATTTATTGCCATATTACTTAACCGCTATCGCTACTAATTTTGGATCTAAGTACGTCACTGATGATAGATAATGGATTTCAAACTGTGCTTATTAACTAAACTATGTTTGTATAACTTGTATCATCTTTTATTCAACGCTTAGCTGAATTTAAGCATTGTTTACCATGCTCGAAACAGGCTAGAGTTGCACAGCAGCATGGTATGTTATGCCTAACGTCCATTATGCCTAATGACTTTATGCCTAATGACTTTATGCCTAACGTCCATTATGCCTAACGAATTTATGCCTAATGGGGTACACTCCTTCAACTTAGCCGTACGATAATGCAATTCGTTAAGATTATTACTAGTGTAATGTTTTCAGCCACTAAGTAATATTTAAATTTGTTAACACTGCATGACAATTATTGTAGGTTTTATCATCCCTATTTTTTCCATCAAATATTATTTAACACAGTAAGTCATGAGAATGAATCTTATTAAGAGGAAACGGTAAATAAATAGCCCTCATAATTTATGACTTTCGTTCATTCAAAATGCAATATCTCATTCATTCAAAATGCAATTACTTTGTGTCGCTAGGTGTTTCCTCTGTAAAAAGGATGAGAAACACGATGGTGTCCTTAAAATTAAAATTAAACGACACGTGTCATGAGAAAACTGCATTTAAAGTTTTCAAACAAAAAATATATTTGGCAACACTGTACAGAAATAAATATTACATAGGGGAATTTACGTATTCTCGGCAACCTAAGCAGCGACCTTCTTTCTATAGCCTTTTTCTCCAAGGAACGCACACATATGCAGTATTGGTTTGTTTACAATCTTTTGCTGCCAGCTGCTCTAACAATTTCAGTCGAAAGAATTGTCAAAAACTGTTTTGAAACGCATTTAGAAAGCACCAATCTTCTCTAGTGAGAGCGAGTATTGTCGGCAACCAGTTTTTCTTCGGCAACCGTTCCATTTGAACTGCATGTAAATCTGCTGTTCTATTATCGGCAACTCGCAATCAGCTACAATTTGTAGTGCGTGTGTTTCATTTCAAGAAAACCTTGCTAGATTGCTTTTTCTCAGTGGTGAAAATATAGTCAAATTGAAGCTGAAAGCATAAAGAATCGTTTGCATGCATTCAGCGAAGTGTTTTCGTAAGAAAATCCAGTGAAAATAGTGTTTCAATTTGGGTTGCCGAAAATAGTCTGGCATGCCGAAGCCGTCATTTCCCCTATTTAGATTCTTTGTCTAATTTCCTTATTAAATCAATACAAAATGCAATTTATAGCTGTGATATCCTGGAATTTGCTTGGTATTTCTTATATATATATAATGAAGATTATGAATCCTTGTCAGCAATTACAACGTCTATCTTTATTCATCCTCTTATACACACTGAAGTAAAACATATCTTCAATCTTATGGATACCACATCCTCCCATTACACAAATAGTATTGAAATAGTAAACTATAACCATAAAAATAGCAACTTCGATTACTGATTTATTTGATACCGTCATCTCCTAGAATCACTGAATCGATGTACCGCTTTGGTGGTCTAATCTGCCGTGGAACCCTACGCCGCTCTTCCTCGGAATTCTCCTTGTGATATTGTTTTGCTGATCCCACTTCCGGTAATTCCTGAGTGACGTGATCTCGTTCAGTTTCCACCGCTTCCTCTGGTAAATCAGATTTGTCATTATCCTCTTCCGTGCGCTGAACAAACTTTTTAAGAAATTTAACACTACGATCGAAAGTTTTGTTCGTTGACGTATCCATAACTGTCGCTCGTCCAGCCCCGACCAAATCCACAACCTTATATAACACGTTCTTATAAAAAGTATCTGCTTTATCTCTCTTCTGCTGCGCAACTAACACAATATCTCCAACCTTAATCTCGGATTCCTGAGCACGGCGACGATTGTCTTCTCGTGTGTTGCGATCAAACTTTGCAATTTGATCTCGGTCGCGAAGTTCTCCATCATCCTTATGTCTGATGTCCGTACGGAAATCTGGTAGAAAACCTCTGACTACTCTCCCAAACATTAGCTCAGCAGGTGGAACCTTCGTCACATGATGAGGCCATGAGTTGTATGCAGCTACGTAGTCAGCAAGGGCTTCCTTCCAGTTCTGCTTTCCAAGCTTTGCTATTGCCGTAATTTTGTTTATGCCTTGCATGCTTCTTTCAACCAGTCCATTTTCAGTTGGATTCAATGGCGTGCTGTGTATCATCTTCACTCCCCATGTTTCTTTGAGCCAAACCTTAAGCTCCACACTGTTGAACGGTGGGCCATTATCCGCCTTCAGCGTCTTGGGAATATAATATGTGTTAAAAACTCTTTTCAAAACCCTCTTGACAGCCTCTGTGTCAGTTTTTTCCATTGGGATAGCAATTAGGAAACGCGAATAATTATCAGTTAGAACCAATGCCTTCCAGTTGTGTAAATCAGATGCCGATGAGAAATCTATTGACACATATTCCCACGGATTAGTCGGCAGCTCTGTCATCGTAATAGGCGGTGGATGGCTGTACAACGTGACCAACTGACATTCAGGGCAACTCTTCACAAACTCTTCCACTTCACGGTCCATACAAGGCCACCACAAACCTTGCCTCAAAATGTGTTTCATTGTAGACATGCCTGGATGGCTTCGATGAGCTATGCGCAAAGCCCTTGTACGTAGTGCTGATGGTAACACCATTTTCTCCTCCTTCATCAGCATATCTCGCTGCAGGTACATCTTCCTTTGGAACGGTTGGTATTTCGTTATATCAGCAGGCCACTTTTCACCTTTGTTGAGCCAACTAATTACTGTCTGAAGTTCAACATCCTTCAGCAACTCGTCTCTAACCTGTACGTTGGTCAAAGCTAAGAGCTGATCACTGATTATGCCAGGATTCGCAGTAACCGAACACAATTCGTGAGCTTCTGCATCTGCACCGTATTGGGGGTCATCTCTTTGAATACCAATCCTCGAAGCGGCATCGGTTATATTATCACAACCTGCTACGTGCTCAAAATCATAACAGAAATGGTCTGTCCGGAGAAGCCAGCCCTCCGCTCTGGACATAATTCTTTTTCCTACATCTTTACAACCTTTGTTCTTCTTCATGAACATCAAAGCTTCACTATCGGAACGCAATATGAAACGACGGCCAAGGAGGTAATAGACAAATCGTTCCATGGACCAAACGATGGCAAGTGCCTCACGATGTAATTGAGGATATCTACACTCTGCACTTGTCAAGCTTTTGGATGCGCACGCAATGATGCGTTGTTGTCCAGAATTTAGATCTACTTGGACTAGGACAGCTCCAAGGCCCCAAGGCCCCAAGGCCCCAAGGCGAAGCATCCGTATAAAGAATAGTCGTATCTTTTTCATCGAAATATCCTCGTTTGACCAAATGCTTTTCGGCTTCATCTTTAAGGTCATCGAACACTTTTTGATACTCCTCATTCCATTCAAATCTAGAATTTGATGTTAGAAGATTTCACAATGGCTTGGTCCTGTGAGAGAAATTCTTAATGAATGGACTAATGAACGTTAGCATACCTAAAAAGCTACGTACTTCCGACGAGTCCTTTGGACTCTTGAAAAGCTTGATATCCGAGATTTTATTGTGCATCGGTAGTATACCTGAACCATCGATCGTGAACCCAAGAAAATCCACAGAAGTCTGGTTATACACCGATTTCGCCTCATTGATTGTCAAATTATTCATCATTAAAACATCTTTGACGTCAGTAACACAAATTTCCAGTTCTTCCAAAGTACGCCCGAAGATCAAAATATCGTCAAGATAGACGACGATATTTTTACAGTTCAGTAGAAGCGTCTTCATTACACGTTGGAATAACTCCGGAGCACATGACAGTCCGAAAGGTAATCTTTTGAACCGCATAAGGCCGTTTGCCGTCATGAACGTAGTAAAATGCCGTACTTCCTCGAGAGTCTCGACATGAAAATATGCATCCTTTAAATCCAACTTTGTAAAGAACAACGTACCACCTCCATTCGGAATTTCTGCCCAAATCTTTTCCAGGGAAGGCATTGGATACGGTTCTCGAATGATGGCCTTATTAACCGCTCTATAATCCACGACGATACGAAAATCATTAGCACCCTTCGGAACTAACACTAGAGGCGACACGTATGATATAACATCCTGCTCTTTATCCGCTCTCTCGATAATCCCCTTAACCTTCATGTCGTGTAGCCTCTCGTTCATGGCGTTCTCAAAAGCTTTTGGTATATTGTATCTTATAATCTCCTTCGGTGCTACGGAATGGTCGATTCTAAAACGAACTCCAGTGATCGGAATTTTTGGAAACTCCACGTCATTAGCGATACTTTTCTTTGATAAATCATTATGAAATCGTTCCCCAAAGTTTACAGATGATGTTGTACTGAATTTATCATGTTCAATACCATTGATATGCCTGTCATTCACCTGCGCATATCCAATACGAATCAAATTCAACTGGTATGCGGTTTCGTAGCCTAGAAGGGATAGCTGCGTTCCCCTGACCACGAAAAACTTAGCCAAAAGTGCAGTTTGATATCCGTTTGTTACTCCAATGAACGCTCTGAAGGAACATTCCACTTCCAAAGGTCTGCTATTAGCATAGCTTTTGAGGACCTCTTCCGGCTGTATCACAACGTCCTGAATTACAGTCCGGCAATTCCGTTTTATCGTTTCCCATTCATAGGTCGTGATTGCATTAACAGTGGCACCTGAGTCCACCAAAAACTTGAAATTTTCCGATCCTATCGTACACCGAACAAATCTCTGATCATCCGTTGCGTTTATGGCCTTCGCTTTTCCAGTGATTAACTGTAACAAGGTGAAAATCAAAAAAAAAAAAAATTTAAACAAACATGATTTTGTAATTCCATCACTTTTGACAATATTCTTATTTCGGTTGTTAAGTAATCATGCTATGCTAAAGTCATTTTATTGAGTTTATTACTGATTTAATTAAAAGATTGCTCGTTATCTACCTGATTTATTATTCCAGTTTCATGCTTCAGCTCCTCGTCCCGTCCCGTTCTCATTCGGTTACCTGCATTGGTCGAACTATTTCTCGACGAAAAGCACAGTTCTGCGAAGTGGCCCACTTTTTTGCAATTGTAGCACCTGACCCTGAACGCTCTGCATTCTTTCGGACCATGAACTCGTCCACACTTCAAGCAGCTACGATCTGAATTTTCTCTGGAACGGGCATTGAAATTGTTCGACCTGAATCCTCTGGACATATTGCGTGACCGTTCACCGATATCCTGATTACCATGTGTTCCTTGCTTCCGATAATGCAGCGCATTGACTGGTTTTACTTCAATAGCATAAGTTCCTTCCTGCTGCGATGTATTGGAACCCTGGCCTTCCGGCATCGGCATTTTAACCTCGTTCGCTTCCGCTCTTATGTAATCCAAATGTTTACCATAGTTAATGATACGCTCCAAATCATTTCCCAAAAAATCCGACATTTCATACAACTTCTCTGCAATTCCTGGTTTTGAGCGACGCAATAGCGCTTGAATAAATTCTTCCACTCGCTGTTCTTGTTCGAAATCACAGAACTTAGCTTGATTCTCCAAACGTAGTACCCAATCGATAAACGATTCCACACCATCCATACGCATGTCCCGGAACTTGATACGTTCCATCGTTGTGTCACAAGTCTGGTTGAAATATTTGTTGAGCGCCATCACCGTAGCCTGGTAAATATCTCCAGCAAAATCAAACACCGTTTTCTGCTGCATTTCAATAACGCTTAGCAGATAATCTCCAGCAAAAATCTTCAACCCCGTAAGTTTCATATTTGCATCATCCTGGGCCTTACAGGAAACGATACGCTCAAATTGATCCCGATATCTGATCCATTCTGCCTTTCGTTTGTTTGTCGGCAGTGATCCATCAAACTGCTTTAGTGGCCACGACCCTGTGAGAAATTCCGATTTTTCTTTCACGTTGTTCTGTCGGGAAGCAAGCTTAGGAATTTTTGCTGCTCTCACATTAAGTTCACCATCGGTGTCATCGGCTGACGAAACATCGGTCTCTTGCCAAACTCCACTCATCTCTGGAAAACCAAAAACAATCAACTTAGTTTGTAAACGTTTAGGAAGCACATGACTTGAGCATTACTTTTCAATGCTTTCAATCAAACCCGATTAACAATATTTCTCGGCACACCGTGAACAAACGAATCGAAAAAAAAATAACAGAAAACTTAACTCCGTCTGAATGGCTTCACACTCGACCAACAATTATACAGCAACCACACCGCATGCTTGCGCCTGCTCTCGCCTTCATTACTTATGACTGTTGCTTTCTCTTTCTACTCGATATGGATGCTATGTGGTTCGTTTCAACACGTTCCATTCTGTCAGATACGCATCGCATTTGTTTACCCCAGTGTTGTTAGCTTATGCCTTGTTCAGACTACAGAGTTATAACATGTTATAGCGCTATCTTGATAGTGGTTTCTGTGTTGCAATTATTTGACAACCGTTATAACATGTTATAACTCTCCAGTCTGAACAAGGCATTAGCAAGTGTTGCCAATTGATATTCCGCAAAAATTGTATAAAGTTTTTTTTTTATTGTTTACATATATGTATATATATACTTGGCTTGGAACTAAATTCAGCGCAAGTCTCACTTTCTCGCTTGGAGCTAAACTCAGCGTAAATCTTTTTTTTTTCACTTGGCTTGAAGCTAAACTCAGCACAAGTATCCTTTTTATTTACTCATTTGGCTTGGAGCTAAACTCAGCGCAAGCATTATTTATTTTTCCACTTGGCTTGCAGCTAAACACAGCGCTATTTTTTTACCAATTGGCTTAGAGCTAAACTCAGCGCAAGTATCTTTTTATTTATTCATTTTTCAACATACCTTTCTTTGGCTTGGAGCGTGAGCATATTGATATTTGATGAACTGGCATCCATGTCTGTGTTATTTCATAGCTTTTTTTATTTTATTTTTTTCACTATTAGATTTATTTTCGGAATATCGAATCACTTATAGATCACTACTTTTGATTTCAAAACCTTATTCTCCATTAGATGGTTCATATATCAGTGCTAACATTTGAAAACGGCACAAAAGCCATTTGTAAACAAATGGTTTGTGGGCCCTTTACTCACTACTTGAAGTACACCCACGCGACACAACAGCAACATCGGGTAGGGGAAATTTTCCCCTTCCTGACGATGCTGTTGGTTTGCGTGGGCGTTCTTCGGGTAGCGAGTAAAGGGCCCACAAACCATTTGTTTACAAATGGCTTTTGCGCCGTTTTCAAATGTTAGCACTGATATTAAGGCAGGATCGCCAATGTGATATCCTGGAATTTGCTTGGTATTTCTTATATATATAATGAAGATTATGAATCCTTGTCAGCAATTACAACGTCTATCTTTATTCATCCTCTTATACACACTGAAGTAAAACATATCTTCAATCTTATGGATACCACAATAGCTTCATTCGTTCCAGAGATACCTATGCACAAAAGAAAGTAGTGCTTTCTAAAAACATAATGAAAAATGGAAAATGTGCCCCTTGATCGAGGGATTTTGGTTTTTTAGAATTTGAACTTAAATGAAAATTCTCTCCAAATTTGGTCCAAATCGGAAGGGGTAAATTTCACCTTTGCAATTTTTGTGACCACTTGGCGCGGAATGACCCATTAAGACAAGCTACGATGAGAGCTGATATTGAAACCCAACTGGCAGAGAGTAAGCAGATAAATTAGTACACTTTTTAAAGTTTCGACATTGCTATAACCGGAACTCGCAACATGCTACCTGTGGCAATAAGGGCCAGGTGTGTTCCTGTAATTATTACAATGCAAGCTTTATCGCACATAAAACATTGAGGGGTCCTGCAAATCAACCACCCGTGACGATGAGGACGCCAATGACAGCAGCGCAAACCGGAGGGAGAAATTAAATCGTTTAACTTTCATCACCTTTCCAACCGGTTGCAACCCCGCAGGTCCGGTGGAAAGTCATTTGGTGTATAAATTGCCTCATCCTGTTTTCTTCCGAATCACTTCCATGGATTTTCTCTATTTGCCTTTAATTGTTATCTAGAGCTTGTGGGAGAGAGGAAGACGGTACACGCGAATGTATACTGTTCTCATCATTCAATTAATAAATTCGTTCTTATATGGGACTAATTTGATGAGGAGAGTTAAGACGGAGTCTACCAATTTCGAAAGCATCGCGTAGGTGGCATAGTTGAGTGTTCACTTCTTTTCCATCAACGGATTCAATTATTTGTCGTCAGTTGGACACGATGGAGAGCCGGGTTTTAATCACAAATTTCCTGACTTGGGTCGTCTACTTTTATTGTCTTACACGCTGCTTATAGTCAAAACACAATACAACTTACTCAGTAACTACACACACACATATATAGAGTGGTCTTCTTGAATTCGGTCGTAGATACCAACCAAATATTATCAGCTAAACTCCATTCCCGTCAGCAGTGCATCGCCGGTTTGGTGCAGCTGTTGCTGTTGATGGTGTTCGTTAATGAAGAAGTAGAACGTTGTCATTAGAACCGCGGTCGCCAGCAGGAATCCGGTGACCAAAAAGATCAACAGCACTAAGGTCAATCCAATCAACACTAGCCATACCACATGACGCGTAGCACCGCTGTTGATCAACTGTTCCAAATCGTCCCAAATATCCGGTGGGTGCTTCGGTTCGACGTGTAACTTGATATGTTGTGTTTCTTTGATTTCGTCAGTTTTCTCCTTCGAGGCTTCCATGCTGAAATATTGAGCAAACTGTTTTTTTTTTTGGAGCTTTGAATCAAAAAATTCTCACCTACCTGCCTGATTAAAGCAACCGAATGCAACTCACTGATCGTTGAGCTGGGAACGCCGCAACATGATCTTTTCAGAATACTGTTGATCAACCTCTCGTCAAATGAAACAGAACAAAACAACAAACCGAAGTACTTTGCTCCGAAGAATGCAATGTTTTATTTCGGCTTTTTGTTTACTACATGGTGGATTCAAAACAGTTGGTTCGTTGAGTTCAGATTAGATAGAGCAAAGCTGCACATCGGTCGGGTGATGCTGATAGCGTGGATTGGAAGCAATAAATTCGACAGTGAGAATTCATAAGGGCGTAAACGCGATGATCGATTCTCTTGGTCTCGCTAGAACTAACGTTTATCGGTGTGTTTGCTGCTGCTTTTGATAGCCAATACAACCTGTTACAACTCTGCATTGAACAAATTCGAGAACATTGTTTCACTTAGCTGTAGCTATGCAAAGAGAAAATCGATCATCGCGTATACGCCCTTATGCATGCTCACTGTCGAAATATTATAGGGAATTCTAAAACTGCGCCGTTATGAGTGAAGAGCCTCCTAGATGCAGGCGCACATTGAAATCACCACTTTGGAAACTAATTCTTGATGAACATTTCAAATGGTCCTATCTGCTTTGATCGGTTCTCTTCATCGACTTTCTCTTTCGCTAATATCTCAGCTGCAAAACCTTTCCCTGCTGTATTTGACGTTTTGGACGCTAGATAAGAACCTCCTTTATCAAACTATGTGGTAGAATTAGCGCGAAATCTGTTTGCATAGCAGTGGTTATGAAAAGAGAAAGTCGATGAAGAGAATCGATCAAAGCAGATAGGACCATTTGAAATGTTCATCGAGAATTGTTAAGCACTATAAGGATAGGCATAATATAAGAACTGTAGAATAGGAAAAATAAATTATAGGTAGGGGAAATGTTGGCTTCGGCAATACCTTAACCTATTATCGTCAGGGGGGTAAACAACGTCATTGAGAGCTCAATTTTGGCATGTGGATACATTGTGTTTTAGAGCATCTATTGGCTAAATTTGAGTGCTCTAGGACTTTGTTTACCCCCCTGTCGATAATAGGTTAAGGTATTGCCGAAGCCAACATTTATACTATCAAAATATGCTATAGGCTATAACAAAGTTGAACAATCACACTTCTCTACATGTTGACAACTTTCTAAAATTATCTTTTCTGCTCTTCACCTGCCGCATATTGAGCTTAATTGAATGCTTTGTATCTCTCGTAGAGAATCGTCTACCAATTGTAGTAATATGATTACACAAGTGTGAAATCAGCTAGGAAGCGTGCTCTCGTTCATGCAAATATGTACAACGTAAGGTCCCTTTGCAGTATTTATTATAAATTGCATATGATCGAGGCTTCGATTCGAAAGTGATTATTATTATTAAACCGGTACCCACTGTCTACGTAGACGAGGTGGCCGAGTGGTTAAGGCGTTGGACTGCTAATCCAATGTGCTCTGCACGCGTGGGTTCGAATCCCATCCTCGTCGAGTTTTTTTTTGTGTGTGAGTGTGTTCACTAGCGTTGCCAGATTGTTTTCTTCCAGCTTATCGGTATCAACAGTTTAACCACAGACAAACCGACATAACTCTTACAAGGAAATTCTTCAAAAATATCGTTAAGCGTATTTTGCATGCACACTAGCACCCTCTACCATGCACATTCCCAAGTATTGATTTGCAAACCGGAGCATCCCTCGTTCATACATTTGTTTCACCAGTTGCTTTTTCCTCGATCTGACAACAAGTCAGCGATGTCGGTTTGAGTAAATTTTGCAGAAATACGGATTCGTACACCCAACCAGGGGATGGGGGACGTCTAGTTCACCACCGTCTACTGCCCTCGACAGTGTGCCGCCAGCAGTGGACTAGCGGCTAAATTCAATCTGTCCACCATCACCCGTAACGGTTCCCGCTTCGTAGTAGGAGGATATCTAAACGCTCGCCATGTGGCCTGGCGGAACT